CTGGAGGGTGTTTGCCTCTTTTCTACCCATAAAAGTTTTTTTTTTTTCCCTTTTGGTAGTGTTAGCCCCAGCAATTTGCTAATGTATAAAAACCTCCTGAGTCATACTTCTTTCTACATCTAATAATCCAGTTCTGAGACCCAGTTCTAAATTCTAAAGACCCAATTCTGTAAGATCTTTTCTTTCTCTCTTCTAAAAAACAACAGCTAAACACTTAGCTGAATTGCAGCTTAACAGCTGACTGTATAGGCCAAAGCAAATCAAAAGTGAAATCTTAAAAATGCAAATGTAGTCGTCAGAGTGCTAATTAGTAATTTGGCTGCTGCCTCTCCACACCAGATTCTTCACTTTAATTGTAAAATGGGAGGGAAAAATATCTTAGGGTCATGTTCCACCTGGCCTTCCCAGGAACATGGGAGAGAGTGATCAGAAATTACCCTTTCTCCACCCAGACACAATCCATCCTGCCCCCAGGAAAGCAGCACAAAGCCTCCTGCCTCCAGGACAGGGCATCCTGTCTGACGTCTGAGATTCGTGGAGGCTCTGAGCAGGAGATCGTGGTGGCGGAGGGTGCCCTAAATGGCTTTGTTTTCCTGCCAGCATCAAGAACCAGGGGGCACAGGCTGCCACATGGCCACAGCTCCGTACAGCTCCTCTCCCCAGCAGTGCATCCCTCTATGAACAGAACTCCCCACACCTCTGGGACCGGGGCTTTGTCTTTCCGAAGAGCTGCTCAGGGAAGCAGCCGTGTCCATACAGCCTCTGCGTCCTGGGAAATCATGTGAAGAAATTTTCTGCATCCTTGAGACAAGTTTCAACTATCAGAGCTTCAAGTGCGTTCCCCTGCACTCTCCAGGCTAACCCTGCATGGGGAGGGTTTGCATACCTCACCAAGAGCATTTCTATTGCCTTGGAAGAGAGGTGGAAGAAAAAAGTTGTGCATGGCTCAGCTACACAAGCGCCCCATAGGTGCGTTCCAGCAGGAAAAAGAATGTCTGTCATGGCAATTTCATTTCTCTTCACTGCCAAGAATGAGAGCTGCTATCATCTTTAGTGCTTTGCAATCATTTATTTTTTCCTTGTGAATGAAAAGCTTAAAAATGCTTTGGAAACACAACCGTGCTGCATCTTTTAAACGAATGATGCTGAGATTCATTTTGTGATCATGATACTCGTTCTTTGGAAAGAATAATTCTTGTTCAGAGATGGAAACAGTTAGCAACTGGGGTCCCATTCATCCTCTGCCTCTTTCTCCTATCTAACCGTTTCCTTAGCTTGACTTTGATCACCATAGCTTTGATCACCCTTTTTGATTATGCACTCTTTATTTTATGCTAAAATGTTATCTTAATTGCTAGATAACCATCAATCCAGCTTCATAAGCACCTGTAAAAAAGTAGCAAAGCTTTTTAAGTGAGATTATAAAGACAAGTTCAAAATTGTTATAATTTAATGATTCTAGTGTCAGTGATGGTCTACTATTAAGATTCATATATACATTATACATTAACCTATATCAGTCTTCATACAATTGTAACAAACTACACCCTTACGAAAAATTCAGGCTTCATTAGAAAATGTTTATTGTTCAATAGAATAAAAGATTTACCTAAATACATTAATTATATATAACCTGTAGTAGTCAACTCTCTGTGTTTCACCATGTCTTGTAACACCTGTTGTCTTTTCTTAAAAGGATCAGTTCTTGAGTTATTTTATTCCTTCAGAATCTGAAATGCTGCATTTTTAAAAAGATTTTTCTATGCCTCCTGATTGCAGAGAAGAGCATGAAATCAACACCTCTAAAGACTCAAACACCAGGAAGAGAGAGACCTTAAGCTTATTCTTTTTTCTTTAAATCTCATTATTTAGCCAGTCTTAAGACACTGATGAGAGATACAAGAAGGGCCGTAAATTGGAACAGTTGCCCCACATTGTTTATAAAAAGCAAAGAATGACTCCCCTTCTTAAGTGAAAATCAATGTACTCTTAATGGCACCCCCATAATTAAGCCGTTCTGAGCATTTAGACTATGACCATTTTATGCCACTCTGGTAATATAGAGAAGTCTTAAAGATATTGTAAATGGGCCAGACAGTAAGGACAAGTAGAGCCAGTACAAATAAATTGTGTAGCTATAAAAGGATGTCGATATAAATGTCCTCATTTTTAGGGCCGCAAAAGAAATTTCTACCGAAGCAAAAAAAGAAATAGAAAAAAGTGGAAGACAAATTCCAATGAAAGCACACTTGTCAGATCAACTCTATTAATTAACCTTAACAATGCAAATTAAGGATTCTTTAGATAGCATTAAATCCTCCTCGTACAAAACTAGTGGTCCCCAAAACTAGTGGTGAGAGAATTTTCTTTCCTGTTAAAATAAACATTTCATAACTTTCCAGACAGCAGAGATTCTGGACCTCTGCATATGTATGTCTCATGAGTAATTTTTCTAACTTAGTTTTTTTGAATGTGCCACATTTGGAACTCGATATACACATACAGCAAGCACTCACACAATACACCAGATCAATATTTCATGTTTAGGGAATGACTTTTTTCACCAGAGCAACACTTTATCTCCTCTATTCCTTCATCTACCCTGTCAAGTCCCCAGCACTGGAAAGTCATTTTTAAATTAAGAAGTCATTTCTCTCTCTTCTTAGATGCAGTAATAGTTTTCTAGTTGCTAGGTGTTACAAATGGCATGACTCAATATGTAACAAGGCTAGCAATTGGCAAACAAGTGCTTCTTGCTTTGCTGTTGTGCTACAACATTTCCTTGCCAGTTTTGCGAAGAACCCTGCAGCTCTCCTGATCTTGGGCAATGAACTTGTGATCAACCCTGAGGGGAAAGTATAAGAAAAAAATCATGGGATCTGAGATCTTTCTTATTTTGGAACAAAAACTCATCCAGAGAGAAAAAGAGAGAAATTTAAAGTCTGTGCTCGTAACAAAAGAGTTACTTTCCTGCCAATTTCTTTATAAGATCAACTACAAATTCTTTATCTTGTCAGTGAAATTGAAGCTTACCATAATAGAAACAAACATTAAAAATTCAGGACAGATTCAGCAACATACTTGTGATCAGAGTTGTGCAAAGTTAAAAGGCTGGAGTGGCTGCCATGTGCTCGGTGAGGCATTAGGCACCAAAAGGTTCCCCCCAGGGGCTCCTGCATTTATTCTAAGACTAATCTATGGTCACTGTCAGAGCACTGTGTCACTGGGCACCACGGAGAAGAGACTGGCCTCATCCTCTCCACACCCTCCCTTCAGATACTTGTACACATTGATGAGGTCGCCTCTCAGTCTTCTCTTCTCCAGGCTAAACAGGCCCAGCTCCCTCAGCCTTTCTTCAGAGGAGAGGTGCTCCAGTCCCCTCATCATCTTTGTCGCCCTCCGCTGGACTCTCTCCAGTAGCGCCATGTCTCTTGCATGGGATTATTTCTCCCTAGGTGCAGGACCCAGCCCTTGCCTTTGTTGAACTTCAGGAGGTTCCTCTCCGCCCACCTCTCCAGCCTGTCCAAGTCCTTCTGAATGGCAGCACAGTCTTCTGGTGTGTTAGCCTCTCCCCCCAGTTTAGTATCATCAGCACACTTGCTGAGGGTGCGCTCTGTGCCTTCCTCCAGGTCATTGATGAATACATTGAGCAAGACTGGACTCAGGACTGACCCCTGGGGTCAGTTTAGAAGTACTAAACATCTCAAAGGGAAGGCAAAGTGAGAGTGAAGTTATATATTTCTTCTCCTATCTCTCTCAAGACACTGTGAAGGGACACTAAATATTTCGACTTTGTGCACCTGAGAGAAAGAAAGGTTGCTCTGTCCTCATCACCAATAAAGTACATAAGGGTATGCTGTGTTTTGTATAAGGAGGGATAATGTGTTATTGTTTTCCTTGAGCTTAAATAATAAATGCATGTGTTCTGAGGACCTGAAAAGCTATTTACAGTCTCTCAAGTGTGCATGATTATCCCAGGCACTGTGCTTCAAGCCTGTAGACACCAGTTTGTTATAAGATGTGACTTTATAGAAAGGCTTTTATGGGGGTGATTTTTATAGGATTTCCATAATGCTCCAGCGATTATTGCGTCAGATTGCTCACCTACAGTATTTTACACCAGTTTGCAATTGTAAATGGATTTCAAGAGTGTAATACCTGATGCAAAGTGAAACCACAATAATGCTTATAATCTGTCCAAGGCCTCTGTAGTGGACACAGCCAATCTCTGAATTTCAGTGTTTGCATTTCATTCAGATGGCAGTGAGAGCCTGAATTTTGTAAGAAAACACCTAAAATAACTCCTAATAATTGCCTTTCTTTTTTCTCTTCTATTCTAAGTCATGGTTCTTTCATGATTTGAATTCTCAAGGAAATCTTCCCAGAAGAAAAATATCTCAGTAATTTTCATCTCATGCAAAGCTAAATATTGGAATAGACCCTAAGCTTTGAAACTTTCAGACTCCATTAAAATTATTTTAGCTTTATATATGGCCTCCAAAATGGGGAAGAATGAGAAACACACTGAACTTGAGGCATCTAAGTTTGCAAAGAGGCTACAAATTGATGTATCTCAAGAACAGACCATCACAGGACAATTTTGTTATGAAGTTTTCATTACTTGTTTGCTTAGCTGCACTTCTGTTTCTTTTGCCCCTAATTTCAGTGAGTTTAAAGAATGAAAAGGGTTACATATTTTTACTTGAGAGTATGGTACTTCCTACTAATCTAATTTCCCTAATCTGATTTTCTTCACTGTAATGACAGTGAAGGAGTGTGAATTCAAAATATTTCAGAAGGGCCAAGTAAGTGATATTTTTCTTTTAGAGAAGCTTCAGTATTCTGACACAACAACCCAAAAGTAAAAGTAATTAAAAACGAAAGTCAAACTCTTCTGTTCTCACAGCAGAAGAAGATGTATCTATAAGTAAAGAGCTTAAAAAGTGAAAAGTAAATTAGATTTTTAATGGTATTGTTATTCTTTCCAAAATACTTTTTTTTGTTAAATATGATTTCTTTAATCTAATTTGAAGTGGGCCCATTAAACCTAATACACTGACATTATTTGATCAGAGTAAATTGGATGGAGAAAGCTAACCCCTCTAATGCAAAGCCATGTGGGAAAAAATATAATAAACCAAGTCATTCATTCACTGCGTCTTCACTTCTCAGTAGCTAAACACTTTCTGGGTAGTATAAATCTCTGTTGCTTATTCTATCTGTCTCAGCTGATCTTACTGGCATAAAAAAGTACTAAGGTGGGAGAATGTTTTTGGATGCTTTCAGATATCAATAAGGGGTTCCTGTACAAACTCACAGCCGATCAGTTTGTTCGTTTAAGAAGAATAAAAACGTTTTCTTGTAACAGGAAGCAAACGTTCTTCGACGGGTCTTCTATTCTCTTTTCATGACTATGAAATAGTCATCTCAACTTGCAGAGGATGGTGACATTTCCTGTGTAAAAGCAAAACAAAAGAAGGATCTTCAGAAATGCTTCAAGATTACAGCCCACCTTCTTGCAACGTTTTTTCTGTTATTTCTCACTTGTTGTGAGATACGAGAGCTGCAGAAGAGAGCGTGTCAGACTGAGTGAATATTTAAATTAGTATAAATTAGTATAAATTTATACACAGCTCTAAGTTTGGTACTATTCTCCTTAGAACAGTTGGTTTGCACTGATTATGATTGCTGATTCTTTACTGGCTGTGTTCCAGGGTTTTTTCTAACGCATATGTGTGTGTTGGTGCTTGCACATATACTGAGTGTGCATACAGATGTGTGAGAATACTGGAACAAATATAATGGTGAGCCGTCATTCTAAGATCAGGAAAGCAATAGTAGAGGAAGATCAGATGCTTAGCCCAGCAGATAGACTTAGACAGAAGGCTGTGGGATGACGTATTTGGAAGATAATATAACTAAATACCTGTCTGTTTCCCAAATACAATAAAAATACAGTATTATTTATGTTAGAAAGGGTGAGACAGATTCAGAGCTAGGTTGCAGGTCACTGGATTACTCTTAGCAACACTTCAGTCTGGAATGGGCGCTGCAGAACGTCACATATTCATCATCATCACTACTTGGCCTGTTGGATAACTTGCTTGGTCCCAGAAGTGAGGCACTCAGAAAAGAAGGAAAGAGGAGCAAACACCCTAAGGTTTTTGGTTTTTACCATTTCTTTTCTCAGTGGTAACTTGAACGTTGGTGCTGAGGAGCAGAATCTCCTTTCAGCTATAATACTCAGATAAATTATGTGATAATTTTGAATTTGGAGAGAAACTTTGATCTTGTGTTATGTGCTTCAGTGGGACTTACACTGTTTTGGTTCAGTTATCAGCTCTGCTACATATAAGTTTGGACAACAAAAGGACTAGAGCTCTAGGAGTCACAGCTGTTTTAGCACTAACCACAATAGCATCACATTTTTAGAACAACGTTGGAGAGAGCTAAGTCTTTTTCTCTTAAAAAATGGCTGCAGCAGCAAGATATATTTCCCTTTCATCAGCTGTGAAAACATTTATAAGATGTTGAGATATTGATTCAGTTTCTTCTTTTCCCAAGAAAAAGAGATAACCACAAGACTATAACCTAATTATGGTAGTTGAGCTGGGATGGGAAGAAGACAGCAAAAAATGTCCCCTAATTTCCTCGCATTAAAACCTTTCTGCATTACATGGAACAATATTCACTAACACAGAAGAGGAGACCAGGTGCGATTATGACTGTACTTAAAGTCTAAGGAGTCCCCCCCCCGGCACAGAAAACCTAGATTCCTTTCCCTGTTCCTCCTCTATAATTTTCTTCCTATGTAATTTGCAATTATCACTCAATGTCATTGAAAAACTGACCTATCTCTGATACTACAAGCCCCACTTTGTAAAGGTATATAATACTTTTATAGAAGTGTTGAGAATATAAATCTCACAGATGATAGCATTGTGCTGGGACACATGTGAATACCAAAGATGAAATAACATTATAATGGACAATTTACCACCTTTAGTTTGGCTCATGAGTGTGAGAGGAGTGGTGATAGGCATGTAAAAATCATTGTGTGAATACTTGTCACAATAATTTTCTGACATGCAAATTTTCCTTTCTTCTTGAGACTTTGGAAGATCACTGACATGATATCAGTTTTTTTCTTTGTAGTTTTTTATTGCTAAACTTTTTTGAAGAAGCTAAACATCAGTACTTCAAATGACCATGAAAAAGGAAGGTATATAGGAAGCTGTGAGCTGGTACCAGACAAGCTCAAGGCATGTTCAGTGGAAATGTAAGTGATGAGCAGTGAGGGTCCTTTCTGAACTAAGCTGGTCCATTTTTTCTATTCTCCTGCTGACAAGACAAGCAGCAGAAGCTTTCATCAAGCCTGACTTCAGTCAGATCAGAGTTTACTGCGAAGAATCAAGTTGTGGAGATATTTTTTCCATCTCAAGGTAGAAGCTTGATAATAAGGGCTTGCAGTCTGACACAAATCTCTCTGCTTTCTTCATTGCCTCTCTTTCTGTTAATCTGAAGGTTACAACTTAAAAAAAAAAATCCTATTTCTAGGCTTGAATTTTTTTCACTTTGATGAGGACACTCAGCATGGCTAGTCTAATTATTTTCTTCCCACTGTCTCCTATTGTCAGCCAAAATAACAAGTTTGTGTATGTAATGTTCTATACAAACTACTTACTTCTCTCAGCCCTGTCAAGCTAGTCCTTTCCAGCAGACAGCTTCAATATGAGGTCCTGTAAGAATTCAAGCACCCACAACTTTCATTGTCATTAGAGAATTAAAGGTATATATTGTCTCTCAGAACTAAACCCTGTATATACAGCTCGAAGCTTGATACCTGAAATGCAGCCAAGTGCATCGTTCTCATAGCTAAACCTCATTAAACACTGAAGTGCTTTTATCCTTGGACCCATGCTCTTACCGAGAGAAGGAAATTACAGCTACATACATTTAAAGTTATACTAGACACGTGACGTTGTTGCTAATGGAGGGACTATCTATTAACTCTACTTTTCCAGAGACTCCAGCAGGATGGCAAACAGTCACCAATATGGCTGCTGGTGATCAGTATACCTGTCTTAAGGAATAATGAGAGAAACCATATTTCTACTAAAATCTACAGTAATATTTCCATTCACTTAGAAAGGGCCAAGATTTCCCCAAATATGTCTATACATTTTCTGCGCGTCTGCTTACATAGCAGACACAGAATTATGACACAGAAAGCAGCTTCAGTTATAATAATGACTACGTACACCTATGTTAGACCCTTGCCTTGGAGTTAATGGACTATTTATAGAGTGAACACCTATTAATAAACCATTTCCCATAAGGCTCAGAGCAATTTGTTATAGGTTTGGCCTAAGGTACAGAGAAGGTACAGTGCAAAGTTTACTGGGATGGGAGAGTCATCTGGAACAATTTACTCCTTGCAGTGTAAGAGTGGCGCAGAGCTATGTCAAGTACGGTTTCCTGAGGATTACAGAGGTCAAAATTGGCCAGTATTGGACTAGAACTTCTGAAACATATACAACAGAGCTTTTCATACACATGGTGCAGGGTAAATAGGCATTGTACTGAGACTTCTAAACTGACCTTTTTTCCAGTGGTCACAGATAAAAACTCTTCTTAAAACCAAAAGATATGCTTAAATTCAAGATAAATTATTATTTTTACTTCATACTCTCACTAGCCTACATTTTGATGATGAAATAAAAATCAGGAAAAAAATACAATTTCAAATTAAAAATTACAGTGAATGATGTCATTGCTACTAAGGACAAAGTCAATTTTCTTATAAAAAGTAACTCATTCACTGTATTATGTCCATTGCATTTTCTGATTTTAAAAATAAGAAGGACAGGAAAGGAAATAGGTTGTAGGGAGCTGGAACAAACTAGACTTGCATCAGTGGAAGCTGCAGTTCATGTACTGACTCCTGCCTCCTTTGGAAGCACCATTACTGTCATTATATTCATCATTTGCCTTTTCAGGATTCTTTGTATGCATATGGTGTCATTCACCTGAGGATCTCAAACGTTTTACAAACAATTAAACCTATCATCATTCATTCAGTGCTGAAAGGCTTGCTCCCTGCTCTGATCAGCCCAAGCTGCCAGCCTGCAATCACCGACTTGCTAAGTTTTCAAACCAATGCTGTCATTCTTCCTCCTGTCTCTCAGGCAAGGGGGTGTTCCCCACAAGCGTCCCTAAAGCTACTTCATTGTTCTCCTTCAATCCCTCCTTGAAAATTGCCTTTGCCAAGGTGTCATCAACATTAAAACAAACCAGCAATTTGACAAATGGATACACTGTTGAAGCACTGAGGCTACTGCCTGCTGTAACAGCCAGTAATGCACTCATGAATCTGCTATATCCAACCATTATCTCATGTCGTCTTCTTAGACTATAAGATCCTTGGCGGGGGGGACCAATTTTTCTGGTCCATGCTTATGAACTATTAAAGTAGCCTGAGGCCCAGGTGTATAACTTCAGACTCTTAGGTGCTATGACATTACAAATATTATAGAAATACATAATAAATCTAACAAATGTATGATCACTCTAGATGTGAGGAAAGGAGAAACCAGGCTCTTAGTTAACTTAATCACACAGCCTTCAAGGATACTTGAGTATACCCAATACAGCTGAAGCTGCAATTTGAGTGATAAATTATGGAGCACATAATGGTCATTTTTAATATTCACAAGGCCAGCCTATTCGTGTTCATAAAATCACTCTCTTTACATGAGAGAGAAGCAAATGACCCTTTGGAAACATGGCAACTTTTATCATTAATCTAATATATTTCCTACGCATATATCACTGGAGTATTGAGGACCCATGGTACCATGTAGTGAAGTGAATGGAAGAACTCCCATTGAATTTTATGGAATTTGAATCAGCCTCAAAGCCAGTTAGGCAAAGTGGACATTGCTTGACTAGTGCAGCATTTAGGTTGCTTTCTAGTGTCTATCCATATTCTTTTTTTTTTTAGCGGAAGCATTTTTAAAATAGTGCACATGTTGCTTTAGCATCATAACACTGTGAAATCTCTACTTACCAGAGGTTTTACATTTCAGTGATATTCCTATTAAGAGTAATGTCTGTTGCTTGGAAAGGTAATCTGGGAAGAAATCACAGTTTGCATTAACAGAGCCATTGTGAACTGGTAACTACCAACAGGTGCCTTACTCAGACAATGGTGTGAATTCATACTGAGTGTAACTATTTATTCAGCCTACTCATTATTGATTTTTTAAGGTTTTTGTATGTATTTTAAAAATTTGTAAAGTGCACTTGTTCCTTCCCTTGCTTATTACCACACTCTCGTGTGTTTTCAGGCATTTTCCTTTCTTAACACATTAACCTTTCATAACAAAGAGTACCTCTTCCCTAATTCATAGCTTATAGCAGAAAGATAATTTTTTTTTGATTGAAGAATATGT